CTGGTGGGTTTGAACCGCCAGCCTTCTGGTTAGCAGTCAAGTGCCTTAGGCACTATGCTACCAGAGCTCCCAGGAGAGGGCCTAGCAAATTATAATGTGGAAACACTCAAATTTTATGCAGTAGTAAGGTAAGAATCCTAACTGGGAATTCCTTCTGTGCAAGATGGCCTTACACAGAGGTACTCAAAGTGCTTCCAGAGACCCCAAAAACATACTTGATTATGGTGAATAGCCATGTCAGCTTGGCCAGGACTTCATGGGTCCCAGGAATGTGAGACTTTCTGTATTAAAACTGGGGAAATCTCGGACAAACCATACATTAATATATATATACATATACACACACACATACACACATAGTTATTTGGGTGAAAGTTTATAGAGCAAATTCATATTCCACACAGTTCATACACATTTACTTTCATGACACTGACTGTAATCCCTACAATGTAACAGCTCTCTTCCCACTTCCTCCTTTTCCCTGTGTCCTTCTTTCCTATGCATTCCTGCCTCTGTGCAGATACTGCCCTTCGGTTGTCCCACAATTGATTGTTCTAAGGAGTGTATGTACCTGATGTAAATGTTCACCCTATCTGCCTGTCTATTGTTTGGCTGGAAGCCACAGGAGTGAGTTCAAGTCCAGACCTAAGGGTAATCAGGGAAAATGATCCATTTTTGCTAGAATGGTCAGTGCTAATGCCAGGAAAGTCCCAAGTAAACCGGGCTTAGTCAGTTATCTTACGTAAGATCATTTTGGAGGCTTCAAGATCAAAGCTATGTTCATAACAATACTAAAAAATTTTCTTTTCACTCTCATCCTCTCCTGATATAGTAAAGTTTTCTAGAAGTTACATGACAGGTCATCACTCTGGCTGTTAATGAAATGTGTATTTGTATATCCTTGTGTTATTTTAATTTCTAATATAGGAAATAGAAATAATACATAATAAAAGCTCTTTGGGGTCCTCAATAATTTTAATTTAAATTTTTAGTGAGATAATTGTAAATGCACATGCAGTTCTAAGAATTAGGATAGAGTTCCAATGTACATTTTACCCAGTTCTCCCTATGGTTAGCATTTTGTTAAATTATAGTATAATATCACATCCAGGACATTGATACAATCCACCAATCTTCATATTTCTCCAGTTTTCTGGCCTCCAAAACTATGATAGAATAAATTTTTGTTGTTTTAAGTCACCCAGTTTTTGGTAATTGTGTTATGGCAGCCCTGGGAAATGAATATACTATCTATTCCAACTTGGTTTTTATTATAGATAGGTATTGGATTTTGCCAAATAGTTTTGCTGCATCAATTGATAGAATCATTTTTTTTAAATCTCTTTTTGTCAGTCTTACTAGAGGTTTATCAACTTTACTCTTTTTTTTCCAAAGAATTAGATTACTGCTTCACTAATTTTTCTCTAGGAGCTCTGGTGGCTTAGTGCCTAAGGCACTTGACTGCTAACCAGAAGGCTGGCTGTTCAAACCCACCAGCCACTCCTTGGAAGGAAGGTTGGGCAATCTACTTAGTGATAGATACCTCTTCTATGAGACTCCAGGGCAGCACATAACAAACAAACTAAAACAAGGAATATTCTTCCTTGTCAGTAGTCCTGGGTGTTCTTTGGCTTGTAGGTGGTTCCTCACTCGATTTCTTCTCCCTGGATCTCTTCTCCCTGGGTGTGTCTTTGTGTCTCTTCACTCATTTTATAAAATATTTTTAAGAAGACTTTATCTTTTGGACACACAATACTCTGGAATAACCCCATTAACATAACAAAAGAAAAGCCCTATTTCCAACTAGAGTCATGTTCACAAGCACAAGGACTAAAACCACAACACATCTTTTTAGGGGACACAATTCAGTCCACAAGAGTTGTTGTTGTTGTTATGTGCCGTCGAGTCGGCCCCGACTCATAGCGACCCCTCCTTGGGTTTCCGAGGCAGTATCACTACGGAAGTAGGAT